TCGAGGGAATGATACAAAGGAGACTTTAAGGGGAGGAAAGGGTTGTCGCGGGCGCGATTCGCGGAATTACGATGCGCGGACGCGGAAGTTGCCGGTATTAGGTTCAGAATTACAATAATATTCGAAGGAACTCACCGATACGCTGTACCCTTTGCTCACTCACACAACACGCTCCGCAAATCGCTAATCCTTTTACCCCTCTATTCGTTACTACGTCTAAACGCTAATTGCCGGCTCATCGTCGCAGCAGCGGCGACGACCCCGTCCCGAGGAATTTTTGGGAAGGGGATGGGGTGAGGAAATTGGGCCATTTTCCGGCTTCGGGAATCGATCGTTGATCGATGGGCCGGTAACCGGGATCGATGGGGCTGGCGGGGCTCGATGGTGGTGGCTGCGGGCTGTAGTCTTCGGGCTCAGCAACAGATGCCTTCAGAAGGGCTGCTTTTCCGCCGTTGTTGGGCTGGTGGACATTTGTCGTTGATCCATCGTTGCCCCCTTTCTTGGAAGGGGTGTTGGGCTGTCGCCGGCCTCAAAGCTCCTCTTTATGGTGGCAGCTGCTGGGGTCCTTCCGTCGTCTCCATCGGCCCGGTGCCGGCGGGTGGGAAAAGAGGTAAGGTGAGGTGAAGGCTTCGCGAGTTGAGATGCGTGGGAGTAGGAAGAGGAAAAGCGCGGCGATTGTAACGGGGGAGCACACGTGGCACCACGTTACAATGCATAACCCTCCGTGACGAAACATAATTTTTACAACTTCTGTAGAAACCTAGGTCATTTATATCTATGACTAATTTTTCTGTTTTTGACTTTCAAAAAATCTAGGATACTTATTGATGGCTTTACTTTAATGTATAATCATTAGGCCATGGGCTATGGAGAAAGCTCCAATTTTAATTTAATTTTGTATTTTATATTATTTTCGTTTTCTAAATTTCACACCGTTCCTATAAAAATTCCTCTTCTTTTTATGAAACCTTTTCATTTAAAAATTATACATTTAACTTTAGGTTAATATCCTCGTATATATTTTGTAAGTTTGAGTCATCCAGATTCCATTGGCCCAGATTCCACTGTTCAAGAGTTAAAGGATTAAGTAATTGGAAGAAATAAATAAATTCGAAAGAAAATTCGAAAAAAGTTGGAATTCGCTTCGGACCTAAACTTTCCGATGAAGGGGTAACTGTTTATATTTCATTAATTTTTATCTTATTTTGTTGAGTTAGCTGGTTTTGTATATTATTTTATATTGTAAACTGTCTGAAATCTGAAAATAGACTTTCCATCCTTTAAAGGTTAAGCAAAATTTTCAAAATGATCAACTTCATTGTTGAAACGTACCTATTGTTCTTACTTATGTTTCATTTTATTCAACTTTTGTTTGAAACATCTTGGAACAGGAAGTTCGAAGTCTAGTTTGCTTGATTAACATAAACGATTGAAATAGTCGTTTTATAAATGAAAAGCTCATGTTCGAATTCCAAATTGAATGATTTATTCATTTCCTCCTTGTACAGTACCTAGTCCTTATCTTTTCTTTTCATTCAAGTAGTTTTTGGTAACATTCAATTCTGTTCTATGATTAATTAACGAGGTTTACAAAAGAAAAAAGAAAATAATTTTGTTGAAATATAGGAAATACTTTAGAAAACTTTTATGAAAAAATCAAAATGATTAACGACAATAAAATGATTTTTGAACAATAGATTTGTATTGATTTCTGTTGGCATTCAGGGGGTGAAAAAGATGGTTGAAGTTTAAGACTCTTTCGGAAACGGTTTGACCCAGAAGCACGAACTTTGGTAAAATCTATTAGACACATATAAGACGAAATTTCCATTTTTACTTTTTGAAGGGGTGAAAACGGGACTGATAAGTATTCTGAAGGGTTCCTCTACAGGGTTATCCTCTCGCTTGTGGACTCAAAGGCAGAGCCTCAAGTTCCTTTTACTGTATATCAGAAGTCGTATAAATGAGGAACGTAATATTCGGGCAGTAGACAATTCTGGGGAAATATAAATTTCTCGAAAAAAAGGAATAAATAAAAAAAAATTAATTTATTAATTAAAAAGGACTCTACAATGACCGCGCGAAGCTCGGATAATTGGCTAGTATGATAATAGATCAGAGACGCTTAGCAAGTAAGTAGTAAACCAGGCACGAGCGCCCGAATCTGCCCACGTGCATTCCAACGGGCTCGAGGCGCCTCTTCACCTCGGACGAGTCGTTGAGAGTGGTGGACTACTTTTTACTCCCAAAGTTACTCGAAATCATGTAGCTGAATGCCTTTTACTTTTTACTTTGATTTACAACTCTCGAGGACTTCCGTGTAAACTTTACTTTACGGATTCACGTGATATCGCCAGCCCTTCCTAACACTTGCTCGTAGGCCTACGAGGCCCATTGTCGCGATGATGTCTTCCACTACCGATTGATAATCGCAGTAGCATAAACGAATACGCTTATGACAAATTGGGTGACAAGTAACCTGTCTGATCGTGCCAGCAGTTGACTTCCGTTATATTCCCACATGAGTGATTTAATTTTTTCACAGATAACTAGTGCCGCTCTTACGCTATCATAATCTACGAAGATGACAGGCTTCTATCTCCCGAAATGGACACCTGGAAACTTGAAACATTTTCAACTTCAACAAACCCGTTCGCGACAATATAACGAGAATCTACTGTGGTATAATATTGTGGGGGTTATAAGCGGAGCATGGCGCCCCAGGCGTCTGGGCCCCTCTTTCCCGTGATGGCCGCAAGGTGTCGCGCGCGTACTCCATTCTTTCTCGCTCCGTCACGGGCCTTGTCGATATTATGATCTTATGTATATAAGATCCTCAGGATATAGAACCCAGGCGTCTGGGGCAGGGACCGTCCACGTCAGCCCCACTGACAAGTTCTTCTTAGTGGACGGTTCCCGAGACGAAACGCCATCATTTTTCCGCCGGCATCCTACAATATCAGAGCTATTCAGAGTTTGTTTCCTTTTTTTTCTATTTTATTATTTATGAACACCATGGAAGTCAAGGTGCTAATCTTTTTGTTATGGCCATATTCAGTGCTAAATTATACGATGAAATATAGGTTGCATATGCTATAGGAGGGGTTAAAATGACCCACTTTTAGTTATACAATAGACAAAAAATATGATAAGAAATAATGACATGGAAAGTTACTTGTCAAAGTCACGAATACGCGATACCAGCTATTAAAGTGTTAAGCACGTTCAAATTACTTCACCTTTTATGCATATAATAATAGACGCCACGGCGCAGCAATAAAGTCATAAAGCTATCGGGTTTAATTAGAAATTTCAGAGAAAGTTCAACAGCTATTTTCTGCCGTTACATGTATATTAGATGGACAATAGGTTCTACTTAAAATTCCAAGGTTTTCGCATGTTTGCCAAGGTACAGTGGGTTTTATGATTTTATTACTTGTGAACTATTATTCAAGCACGCAAACGTCATAAGAATAGCCCTTAACTGATTGTGAAAATGACCGTTAAATAGAAGTTCTTTTCTTTCCATTTCCATTTTCTGTAAATCAAGAATTTTTTCAAATATGCACTTAAAATATAGAGTACAATATTTAAAACTTATTAAATTTCATTGTTTATTGATATTAAAAATATTTACACCATTAAGTTACTGTACAGTCGCTGTAAAATCAGACTTCTCTAGGGAAAATAGTGATATAGAGAAAGCAGGAATATTCAAAATCCTGATTTTGATAATGTTAATATTAAAAGCAATGTAGAAAAAGAAATAATATGATTTTTAATTATTCAATATTATAGAATTTAGTATGTTCCCGTATAAAGGTAGTATAAGGTAATATACATATGAGCTGTTCACAAACCAAAGTGATTAACTCCACTTTTCTAATTTTACAAAATTTTAGTATCAGAGCATTTGATTGATGCTTAACTGTGTATATTTTATCAATTTCCGTACTTTTTGGTTTTATAGAATTAGTCGATTTGGCAAATGGGCAATTTATACAGGGACCCTTCCTCCTATGTACAATGTAGGATCGGCTAGTTACTACATGGGATCTAGTCGCTAGTAGAATAAACCGCTAAATCAGCCACTTGCCGCTGGCTCACTGCATACTCGTGAGCACTCTGATGCACGCACGCCGCGCCGCGCCGGAGCGAACTGTGCCTATGCCTGTCCTACATCGTCATTCTTCCTATAGATGCCTATGGGGAAGGGCGAGAACTCAGGACATCACCACTTTTCCTGGAGAAACTTGATTTAATCGCGAGTGTACATTCAATTAGTCAAGTCCAATTAGAATGTTTACTGATTTGGAATTCGCAATTACCAAAATATAAGCTAATGTTGAGTAGAATGCAGCATAAATTGTTCATATCTATTGTTTTTCAATTAAACAGTCCCATGTTGCATAATGGTTATGATTATGAACCATTATGATTGCAGAGATATTTTGACCCGATCACCAGAATAAAGTGTATAAAACATAAAAAGTTTATCTGTAAAACAAAAATTTTAACATTTTGAAATATTATAATATATTGAAGTTTCTAATTAATTTAGCCTGCACTTTTATATAATGATGTTTTAATTATGGATCAGAGTGACTATATTCCAGAACATTCATTTTTCAGTAATAATAATTGTGTTTAATAGAATTCCTTTGTTTAAAAAGATTCGTATTAAATGACTTAATAAACAACGAAGAGGCGTATTAGTGACTTATCCCTTTAACCCTTTCAATGTTATGAATGTGTATACAAGTTGAATAATCTGTACACTTGTCATAAGCAGGCAGTATCAACTAAGACTTACATCTTTACTGGAAAATTAGTGACACAGCAGACCTTAATTTTAATTAATTAAACCCCAAATTTTTCCTCCCTCCCCAGAATTTTCCTCATCTCCCAATGGCTAGTCTGCATATGTGCAATATCTAAATGGTTAATTGAAAGTCCGATGTATTTGTCTGATCTTTCAAAAAATTTTAGAAAAAACTCACTGTTTTTGTAATGTTCCGACATCGATGCATACTGCGTTCCGTGATGGTGACCCGATATTTGTCCCAATATTTCCAGGTTCCTCGATTGCCGTCCTGAAAAATGTCCAAAGAAACCACGACATTAAACACTGAGCCATGATTATTGATAACGGTAAATTAGGTGGCTCGAGGGATAAAGGGATACTTCCGGTTGTTCAGCATTTCCATCGTTTCTCTTACAAAGATATCCGACTGAAATTGCATGGACGATTTAAATGAATCCCTCTTTTTCTGAAGAACTTTTAATCAAACAGGCTGATACTTTTTATAGAAGGTAAACGTCCCTGGATACTTTGTAAAAAGAACATATCGGTCCAATATCTCCTCAGGCTAAAGCAAACAACTAAGATTGGTTGCTTGTTGATTTATTCTGTACCCGATGAAAAGTAACTAATCAAGAGGTCTGTTTTCGCATGTAACCAATTTGTTGATATTAAAAGTTATTTTGTAATTAGTGATTGTATTATAAATATAAATATCAATTGTTGGTTATGGAATTTATGTAACAAATCAAATTACCTATGAATGTTTTTTAACATATTGACTATTAAATATGAATTATTTTTTAACTATGTAATTCATTTTTATCTTTTCAAAAGTTATTTTCACAAAATGCTGTTGCAAAAGCTTGAAAGTTTGGTATAATACTGTTCATGACACGTGAGACTTTGAAGCTGGATTTATTCTAAAAGTAAAATATTCTTGAGAAACAAAGTTTAATGAAACTCTTATAGTAAAAGTTTTTAAATATCGGTTAAATATCTATTAAATTTGACATTTATCCTGTAACTAATTAAACATGGACGTCATTCGTTAGAAGAATCATGACCTGTAGTACATTGTAATAAATTATGGTTTAGACACGTGATAATTGTAATTACTTAAGATTCAATTTCTGCATTGTAGTTTCTTTAAATAAATTATAATATTAGGTGAAAATATAATTGTATCTTTAAATAATAAACAATTAGATAATAGATAGTAGATGATAAATAATAGATAATAGACAATAAACAACAGACAATAGACAATAGACCAATTATGACAATTACACTAAATTATAATAGTTACCAATAGTACGTTGCCTTATTGAAGTGTTTGTACAACAAGTTAAAATTTTGTGTACAAAATATTTGCCAGATATATAAAATAAATGTATACATGTCATATCTATGAATGACACCTTTTATTTGGAATTCTTGGAAAATATAGATCATATTCCCCAAGACTTATGAAACTGTTCTTATTTTACAAAGCTACATTTAAATCAATAAGGACAAGATCGTAAGCTCCAATGGAAAAACTTTCTCCATAATCATTTGCATCCAAGCGTCGGCGATTGGCAAACTTTGTCTTCTACCACTATTCTTCATCTCTGTCCCATTAATTTAGCATTTTACAATATTAACAAGAAGCAATTTAGCATGTACGTTACTTTTATCCATTTAATCATATTTCACAGAATAATTACTTTAAGCCATAACTTAAAGAGGTTTAAATTAGAATGAAAACTAGGTTAAATCTGAACCTAGATATATGAATTATTTTTCATTAATTAGATAGAGATAACTAATGTAATTATTACAATGAACATTTTAACAAATTTTAAATGTTAAACGTAATAAACAAGGGAGTACATATTTACAACTATTTTTTTAAATGGTATTATTTTTCTGTTACAATTAATGTATTACTAGCAAACTACTTGCAAAGATTTAATTGTAAATTCCACACGAGAGTTGCACAATGCTTAACGCATTCAAACTTTTTGAATTCAGTACCTGTTTGAATCGGTTGTGTACATAGCTTTTGCAAACATGAAAGACGATTGAAAACTCTTCAATGGAAGTGGAAAACAGATTTTGCGTTTGTAAAATGAGAGAATGCCTTTAAAGAATCATTCATCGTTGATTATTTTTCAATTCTTTCATTTTTTAATAGTTCACAGAACAGGAAACGAACAAGATTTTTCTGTTGCAAGTTTGTTTGAAAATTAATTAGAATACCACTTATTATCTAAAATGATGTTATTTTATTATAAGAAGGGTAAAAATATTACTACAACCATCAAAGTAAAGTATTGGGTTATTTATTTTGAAAGTGTCTATTTAAATCTATTTAAAAACATGTACATACAATGGGCCGCAAAAATATTCGGACACCGTTGAAAACAGAATACCTCATTTAAAATTGGATCAAATGACGAAGTTTTTTTCAGAAGTTATGCAAATTAATTTACTAAGATAAGTGCTTCTGTTTTTTTAAAAAATTACAGTTTGTCGAAATTACGAAAAAAATAATAAAAGGCAATTTTTAACTTTTTTATCTAAGCCTGTAATGAAAATTTAAAATATGACATTTGTAAATTTAAGTATGTTATGTGTGTGCTGCAAATTTCATCGAGATCGATCAATGCGCTTAGAAATTACAAGTAATTAAAATTTCCGAAAATCTCGACTTTTCATCTAAGAACGTGACTAGTTATGTTTAAACGCAATTGATAGAACCCGACTCCTATATGTACGGAACCCTCCTTTTGTCAACCTCATTTTCCTCGGGGAAATGAGAATCATCTTGTATATATGGCTCCTTTCCCTACTTTATCATTTTTTCTGAAGAAGCCTACGAGCATGAGGAAGCCTACTGGTTGGGCCAAGAATTCAAGACATCGCCATGTTTCCTAGGGAAGTCTACCATGCTCGGTACTGTACAGTACTGTAATTTGTAACTGATGCAGTTAAATGAGACCTTTTATAATGCATCATTTCAATATAAATGGATATACAGGGTCTACCATTTATCTCGGAACCCGTGCGCGCGCGAACTCATGAATGTGGCAACAGCGCTAAAATTCGATAGATGCGCCCTCTGCAAACCATTGCTGCGATGTAAAAATCCCTAGAGTTAAGTTGGTAATCGACCGAACTCGGGTCCGAGATTCGATTCGGGATACGAGTATGTATACCGCAGTTCACCAGAGTCCATAACTGCGACGCGCAGGTTGGAAGATGGTGGGGGAACGCAGCGAGCTCTCTGCTAATCGCTTTCCACTTCGTTTGGAAGTATCGCCAATCAGAGCGAAGATGCGCACCGGAGAAGCGCGAAGAACGAAAACTGGTCTTTTCGCAGTTATGGACTCTGGTGAACTGCGGTATATGTACGACGAGCAGTGGAACTTCGAGTCGGCTCGGCTCGGCTCGGCAAAACTCGGGCGCGATCGGCAGAGAGACAAACATACTCGTTTCCCGAATCGTATCTCGGACCAGAGTATCGCCGATCATGCCAAACGTTGCGCTGTTGCCACATTCATGAGTTCACGCGCGCACGGGTTCCGAGATAAATGGTAGACCCTGTATAATTGTTAGAGAAGTGGATAAGCGAACAAGAGATCTAATTACGTGAATGTTATTATTCCAACGTGAAAAGAGTTTTATTATTAATTCTCTTTCTTCACACAGCAGAATACTATTACGTTCCCATCGCCGTTTTCCTCAGGGAAGCCTAATTCGATTACAAGTTTTTTTTTAGTTATCTCATTCTTCTCCTAAAATTGAAAATCGGCATTTGAGGCATACTTCTATAATTGTTGTATTGGAAGAATTTGTACTCCTGAGAATAATGAGATATACATTTAACTAAAAATTTGCAACTCTACAGTTGTGTCATTGCTCTTCTAGAGCGACGATATTTAGGTTTCTTTCAATTTCCATAATATGCAACTCCATTCTCGATAACAACACGAAGTATCTAGTAACATTTCTCGTTTCACGGCAAGGGAAATCGAATTCCGTCTACGGCATGAAACTCGTCAAAATTTTTCCTCAGATTCGAGAAATTCGAAACAGCGTACGAGGAAAGGAACGAAACAATGACGAAGCTGTTGAACAGTGTAATACGGTGACCGTATTTTTGAAGGCGCCTTTGTGTTCTTCGCGTTCAAATTTTCAGCTACGCCCGAACTTGGGTAACTGAATTCTATCGGTCGCCGCGAGCACTGCTTGCATTCACCCTCACGCCATGCTCTTAAGAAAGCTTTCATTGTTGGAATTCGAGTACGAACTATATTTCTCCTTCTATTCTTCTCTTCGCCAGTTTCGCGTTTTCCAAGTGTTCGCTTCATTTCCGCCAATGAACCGGCTTTTCTGTTAGGCCATGTTTATTTAGGACGTGGCCTCATCATAAAACGATAATGTTATGGCTTCCTTGGTAACGAATAACATTAATCACTATTAAAAATGATCTTTATAAATGTATGTTATAAAATTTCTTAAGTTAACACTTTAACAGTCGCATGTTTGTGGAGTTTGCTTTATTTGAAACAATGGCACTAGATCTAGGGATTTTTTATTTTTATCGTCTTTGGTACTGATTTTGATAGTATAGGGAGTTTATTTAGTATGTTAAAGAATGTAAGAAAAAAAGATTAAATATGTGCAACTTAATTTTATTAATAAATTATTTTGTAAAATCAATGGATCTTACAATTTTAAATTTCCTTTTATAATAAAGAAAGGGATTATTTTTGTAATGCAGGCTACCTTAAATTAATTTGCCAGCTTTATAGTTGAAATTATTACATAATATTGAAAATGAAAATAAATTAAAGAATCCTTACTTTAAGTTAATATTCTTGTATTTAATATTGTCACTGCCCTAATCGTAAGTATAAAATGGTTATTCGATGGCTATATTGTGAATGTATTTGCTCATAAACGAATACCAGTTTTTATTACTAAAAAATATTTGCATAAAATTATTATAAAATATTCTAAATTAACGCTTCAAGAGTCTCATATGTTATAAAACTAATGGAGCTTATAATTTCAAAATAGAGACTACTTTGTAACATAGGGTATAAGTTTACCGGCTATAAAATTTAAAGTATTGCACACAAGTACATCAGTATGAAAGTACATCTTTTTCTACAAAATAAAAAATTTGTCTGTAATTAAAATTTTAATATCTCTTTAAATTCATGTATATCTAAGAAGTTTTTTAGAATATGACATAATATTTTTACATATTTCATTACTGTTGGGAGAGGGGCGATGAAA